AAAATCCATCCTCTAGTTTATATATTATTAAAACACTCCCTTAGTTTGCATATGCTGTACTTAATATGAAGGGGCATTAATCCAAGGTTTTTATTCCAAAACAGCCCTAGTAGTTCTCTTATCAACCTTTTAGGAAACAAATAAACTTCTCTCTCTCTCTATCATATTTGGAAAAGGTATGGGCTACATGTGATATTAGAACTGTTAGGGGTACTTTTAGAATAAAAAACCTTAGGTCTATGCCCTTTCATATTTTCCACTTGCTTTAAGGGGTCAAGTGGCCATTCACAAATGGAAAAACAAAGGGTTTCAAATGGAAGGTTGAATAAGTAAAGCAATTGCAAATTATAGGGTGGTGTTTTAGTAATATACAAACTAGAGGGTAGGTTTTAGTCAATACATGAAACTATAGGGGATATGAGTAAATGATCCTTAAAAGTATGAATGAGCTCATTGGACTTACTTTGACTAAAATAACCAGTGAATTTAGTCCAGCCTCTGTTGTAAGGATAGAAAATGTAAAAATTTGAACTACTACTTTTTATCTCATTGAATTCCTTCTCATTAATATTTTAGGTATTAATGCCCGTTCCTATATTTTAGGTAGTTTTTTCTCACTAATAAATTTTATTAATTAGATCAATATCCAATACTTCTAACAATATAAAGCCTATGTTTTTATAAAACTGACCCAAAACAGCACCATTATTCTAAAGTGACGGATAAGCAATTCAAATATCCAGATCAAATGGGTCACTTCTATTTATTCAGTAATACTAACAATGCATCAAACAACACACAAAAATTTATTTTTTATTATTTACTGCTAGAGAGGAATCACGCTCACACACATGTATGCATCAAACAGCTATTAACTATTTATACTTAGCACATGTTATTAGGGTGTCAAATGGACCAGTTTTGGATTCAGCCTGTTTAAATTAAAATCAATTTGGATGGATTGGACCGACCAATAAGACATTAAATTGGACCAGTGCAAACATAACGGTCCAAAGTATTTATTGGATTGGATTAAACGTTACCATCAGTAATGGAATTATATTAATTGGATTGGCCGATTGGGTCAGATTGAATCAATATCTGGTTCATTTATATGAATAAGAATACAGGTGTCAAATTACAATCAATTTGAACACTGTCCAAACATTAAATTGGACTGATCCAAAATGATCCAGAGAATTCATGGAATTGAATTAAACCAGATCCATCTGTAATTGACTCATATTGGACTGGATTGGATTAGACCAAATCTGATCCAATTGACACCAGTAAATAGATGTAAATTGACATTATTTTTGGTAACAAGTTGACACTATATCATCTTGTAACCTTACGAGACAAGTATTATAATTCTTTATAATAGGATAAATAGATGTAAAAATGATATTTTTTACAAAAGTGATTCTTACAATTCGAAACATTCGGTGTTACTTGAAACGGCTTGAAAACACCCACTTAGTTACTGTTTATAATAACTTTTCATGGCAGAATATAATAGTTCTGTATAAAATGGCAACACACAAAACAAGCTCCTTCCGCCTACCACTCTAGCTCCGGCCCTTTAATATATATATATATATATATATATATATTCAATTTGTTTTCATTTTGCTTTCTTCAAAGGAAGTCATTAACGTTCCTGCTGTCCCAAGAGTAAGAGGACCCTATCCAAAACCTCTATGCATGTTTTTCAATTTCCTTCCCACAAGGAACGAGGTACCTTAAATACTCACCTTTGAGATGCTCCTCCCATTGGTTTCCGCCAACGGCAAGTGCATATCTCACAGCCTTTGAGATGTTAGATACTCCGCCAATACATGTTTTTCGTTACAACACATTCCAATCGTGTATTCAAAACATCTTCCCATGACATGATAGGTATAGAAGATGTTCTCAATAAAAATATACATGTAGAGCGCCTGTGGGGTGTCAATCTGAATTCTGCCGTATAGTGAATGCGAGATGGGCTGTAGTGTCCCTACCACCACTACCACTGAGTTGGGATCACCTGCCAACAAAAATCTCAATCAACATGATAGGTATTCGCATATCATGTCTGGGACCCACCCCACCATGCATATGATGTACATACACCGGTCAATTGTGTCCAGCGAAAAGTACCCTGTTCAGGTGGAGGTCGTAAGAGGCAGAGTTAATCCTTCACAAGATTGTCTCCCACAACGTCCCACAGCATATTCCTGTCGTTTATTGAGAATATCTCCTGATGATGTGTAAGACGTTGTGGAGGGCTGATTTGATCTCTAAGAGACATCACCCATATTTGTATTGTAATATTTGCACCCCTCGCAAACTGAACCAAAAGGCATGGTGGCCATTAGATTTGGTAATGCACGCTAATTGGGATCTGCTCCTTCACACAGTGCGCTTCACAGTTACCTCACAGCCACATCCGACCTTATACTGAGAACATCTCCTCATGAATAATAAACACAAATATGGGAGATGTTCCAGATGTGAGGCATGCTGTGAGGACGGTGTGGGGCACACTCCCTGAGGAATAGATCCGGACTCAATACACGCAGCTAAAGTTGTCAGATTTGATACAGATGGATTCGGGCGACATCCAAAATGATCTTGTCAACCAAACTCACCTAACACCAAGCCCCTGATCTCAAGCTGATCCAACAACTTATGCTGTTGAAAAAAAAAACTCTTTTGAATAGGTATCGTAAGTTAAAAGTTTTCCACTCCACCCTCCCCTGCCCCTGCTTTGTCATTACTTATTTTCCCTTATTCCCAGAATGAAAAGAAAAAATAGGGTTCATTACTTATATATTATGTACATTTGAGAAACTATTTGTATATACCCTGACCATTGGAGACAACTTATATGTGTCTTGTTGACCGGCCCCACATAACACAAATAGGACCTCTGTCAATGAACCGTTTAGAATATGGGTGCTCACGATTCGGTTAATTGAATCGTGGGGATTTTTTTAATCGAACTGACCTGATCGATTTTTTAAAAATTTGAATTGAAATCAAACCGATGGAATCGGTTAATCGTGGTTCGGTTTTTTGATTTTTTTTTTGCACTCAAAATTAAGAAAAAAAGGGAAAAATACTTGAACAAACATGGCAGAGGGGTGAGCCGGCGAGGGCAAAGTGGTGGCCGATGATAGATTGGTTGGTGGTTGTTGTCGCCTGAAGTGAAAGCCTGAGAGGTGGCGGAGCCGCGAAGATGAGAGATGAGAGAAACAAAGACAGAGCCTAGGAGGTGGCGGTCCTGGCGGAGTCGAGGCGGCGACCAGCGTCTTGGTTGGTTGTTGTAGCTAGGGCTGGCTAAGCTGGCTTGGTGCTTGCTGATGAGGCAGCAACTGGTGTTGCTACGTGTTTGTCTGCTTGATGGTTGGCGTGATGGAGAAGGAGATGTCAGAAGACAAAGAGAGAAAGAGACACAGGGAAGCACTGAAGCAAGGAAAATTGGCCACTAGGTGAGAGGCCGTAAGTCGGAGGACAACTGGCGCCGGAGGAAAAATTGGGGATTGGGGAAGACAAAGAGACAAGAGAGATCGAGAGAGTGAAAAAGATAAGGGTTAGCCTATTAGGTTTATCGGTTTAGGTTTCGAAGAAGGGGAAACTGGGAAAGAGGGAAAAGGCGGACAAGCACGCGACAAGTAAGGTTTATTCGATTTTAAAAAATAAAAATAAAAATATAATATATAATATAAATAATATATTATTGTATATATACATTGATCGTTTCGGTTAACTGCTGATTTTTGTACAAGGTTAATCGAAACCAAACCAACCAATTTGGTTAACCGATTTTTCGGTTTGGTTTTCCGATTTTTTTGCTCACCCCTAGTTTAGAACCATTAACATCTCACTCCAAATGTTTTTATAATATTAATTTTGCCCATATATGTTTAAAACAATGGGATCATCTTTTTTCGTCTAAAATCATACAACTTAATCTGTTGTTTTGTCACTCCAATTTTTTAAATTTCCAACTCAAAATCCTTCTCTAATTAAACAAGAATATAAAATTGGTTTTAAGTACAAGAACATGAGAAGTAGATTTGGATAACCACTATTTTGTCATCAAATTCTTGAAACCTTCTCAATCTTCTTCCATTTTCATATCTTTCAGCTTTTTTGTCTACAAGAACCCAACCCAACTTCCTTGATTCTCGTCTCCAAGTCAAACTCATGTCAAAAATATCATGATTGTTTTGAAATTTTAGGAAATTCCAGTAGATCCTCACACCGACATCACAGGCACACCCCACCATGTATCGGATCATTTTCCCGTACTCATGAATTATTGTTCATAGGAGATGTTCCCAATGTACATGGTGTGAGATGTATTCTGTGAGGAGCATATCCTATTTTAGGGTCTGAATTATGCATTTTTTGGGGGATTGCTCAGACATGCGTCTGTCCAATGCACATGTCACCAGTAGACAAACCAGGTATACAATATACCAATAGTGGTGTTTCAGACATTTGGGGATTTTTTAGGTATGTATTTCTGTCCAATCAGTCCAGGTCGAGTATATTTGGATTTACACATACAACTTTAATTTTGTTAACTCCAGTCTGCATTTTGGGGATTTTTCAGACATACGTTTCACCAGTGGCCAAACCGGGTATAATGCTTGCAACATTAAGGAAGGGAGAAAGAAAGGAGAGAGAGAGAAAAAAAAAAAAAGAAAGAAAATGTCATTATTTTGAAAATTTAATGAACAGTTAAAGATCATTTTTGTCTTATACGTTTTTATCTGTTAGATTTAACATTTGAAAAGTCAACAAGGCATGTTTTAACTCAAAAATTATTATATAGGTTGTAAGCTATTAAGACTTAAGAGTCTTGAGCTACTGCAGTTCGGTTGTTTACATTAACCATGCTTCTGCTATAACATATTGAATATGCACTAACTGTCATTCAGCCTATCACTGCTGAAGTAAAGAGAATTATTTGTTTTGGCAAGAAACAAGTACAACGAACAAGGAAATTAATACTCCGAGAGCAAAGAATGCAAGACTAATCACTCAATAAAAGCATTAGAAAGAATACAGTGTCGCCTTTAATAACCGTGTAATGAAATAATGGCATTAGCAGACTATATTATATACAAGCGTGGGACTCTCTCTCTCTCTCTCTCTCTGAAAAATGCATATACCACAGGTATCTCAATTCGCATGGTGTAAAACACCCAGCATCTCAACCAACTATAAAACCCATATGTTATCGCTATGAAAATCCCGGCAATTAGAACTCTGTGAAACTTGAAGTTAGTTGGATCCCTTCACACAACACTAATACTCTTGAGGTTTTATCTGGTTCTAAAGTCCCAGTTGCGGCACTCTGCTTATTTTTCTCCACAGCATTTAGCCCCTTTTCCCTCTTGCAGCTTCTGCCACAGGCAGGGCATCTCTCTAGGGCCTTGATAGTGGGCAACGATGTAACCATCTTTGCACCCTTCATTATACACCCTCTCTTCCTTTTCATATCTGACCTTCAATCCTCCTTTCTTCATCTCTGCAATCCAGATGCCCATTGCCACATCCTCCAGCTTAAACATCTGCCACATCAACCACTTCGATTTTAGGATGTAATGTATAACTTGAAAAATAAAAAGATCCGTTTGGTACTTCCTATGCAATTAGTTTTTTTTTTTTGGTAGTTCTATGCAATTAGAGCTAGTATATTGCTACTCATTAGTATTTGTTTGTCACCAAATAGTTCCACTATACTTAAATAAGACATTTTAGGATGCATAGCCCAACACTGAACTCCAAAGACACATGCAAGCACCATGAAGTTTAACTCTCAATGAATCCAAGGATCTGAAAAATACTATGCTGACCAGACCTTGAATCTCTTGAACAAATTAAGGGAAAAGGATGTTCAGTTAAATTGTGTCAAATGTAACTGTCTGATGTATCTCATACAAGAGCCAGCCCACCAACGGAAAGTCTTGAAGACATTAGTCAAGCTACTTGGTAAAATATATTTGCAAAAGCTTTTGGGTGACAGGTATTCCATTCTTTTGCGGCAGGCTTCTTGCAATAATGGTTTTTATGCCCCATGAAAAGATATAATCACAAATTCAGTGTTGTGGATGCGTTCGTGGGGAGGACGTACAGCCGTCGGCAGCAGCAGTGAGGAGGGGCCCACAAGGTGGCAACTTATCTTATCAGCTCTCAGCTTATCTTATCTTATCCTTAGTAGTTTTCCTTATCTTCTAGAGTTCGATTTATCTATTAGAAGTAGGAGTCTGATTGATCTTAAAGTATGATTTATCTTTATCTGTAAGTAGTCGAATTCTACAGGGAGTCCTTCCCACCTCTTGTAATCTCCTATTTAAGGAGATGCGAATTGAGAATAAAGGCATTCAGTTTTCAGTCAAGGAAAGAGTTAGGAGAGTTAGGGTGATCTCTTGAACAAATCACCCTTAGGTCGCCACGATAGGGTCTGCACGCAAAGGAAGGGGCAAGGGGAAGCTAGAGGTTCTCCCCATGGACCGACCCGTGACGAGATCCTACGCCCGGGCCCATAACATTCAGAGTGTCTATTTGATGATGGAGAACAAGAAAGCTCTATGCTTTGCATGTTTGTCATGCATAGGCTGTCATCGGGCATATGTAAAGACTGGGCAAGCCACTAATATATAAAAATAGACACCAATATGCTCCCACTGCTCCTATGGAAATAAAACTGTCCATATTAGGATCCAGATTCATGAGGTGCCTCTTGGTTTATGTTACATGTAACCATGTCCTTGTCCACATATCCTATGAATAATATCCCTAGTTTCTTTGATTTTTTTTCAATACAAAATGTGCTAAAATTAGTATTTTTGCCACTTGGCAAGGGACTATTGGCCCTCCTAGTTGTCAAGGCAACACCTAGGTGACAAGGCACCCTTGGAGGCTCACCTCACCTAATTGCCAAGCAGTTTTCTATGGCGTGTTAGAAAAAACTTTTATATTCTTAATTTTTTGAGGTTATAATTTTAAAATAGACATTTTTAAACTAAAATTTGTGTGTTCATATACTGATTTCTTTTTATTATTTTCTTATTTGTTAGGGTTTATTCAACACAAACATTGCTAAATGCTGTATTGAACCCTGAAAGACTTCAAAACCTGAACTAACAAGGAAGAACTTAAAATGTTGCCTACTCAACACATTTACTTCTTTTTCTTTACTAATTTTGTGTGTCTATATACCAATTTTCTTCTTCCACCTTTTCTTTTCTTCTTTTCCTATAACAGAAGTAGGGGTTCAGCCCCTATAATTTTTGAAATTTCATTTCCTTCTTTTTTTTCTAATGAATATGTTGGAATATGTTGATTTTCTGTACTTTAACATGAAGTTTATACTTTTCTTATGAAAATTATGGATAATTATTAAGGAAATTTGATTATGGAACCTAGGGAACTACCCTAGGATACATAATTTTACTTGAAAAAATCCATCGCCTAGGCAACTAGGCACCCCGGCACCCCCCTGTCGCCTAGCCTCGCCTTGGTGCCTTGAAAACTATGCTTCCTACATGGAAAAAGGATGATATGGGGTTTCCAACTCAAGTTATAAGAGCCAAAAATGCATAGACGAAGGACTGTAAACATGTTTTATCAGAACTTCCATGCTTACTTGGAGCACAAAAATTAGGGTTGAAGGTGCCCACCTTAATCACTTCACACAACATTTTGGGTGATAAAAAGTAACAAAAATATGACAAGCTTCAAAAGTGTATTTAGCATATACCTTCAAGCTGCCATCTTTGTATCTCTTGGAGATCGACTTTGCTATGTCATGTGACACAACATAACCAGGACCATGTGCCCAAGGGGGATAAGTTTCTTCTGGCCATTCCTTCACGAATGCAGATAAGAGGCAGAAGTGAGAAGCAGAATAATTAAAGCAGTCATAATTAGATCCTAAGAAATTAACAGCTGGGTGGAACCAAGGGATGCCACCCCCTCCCCAAAAATAAACTACAGAAAGGATGTGGAGCTTATGATGTACAAGTAGGCCACATAATCAATTTAAAAGATGTGCAGTGGCCACCTCCAATTAAAAAGTCTGGAAAGAAACTGAATTAATGACTTAATGCTAACTCTACAGAATGTTTGCAAGATCAGAATTCAGAGGTAGCACCCAAGTATTGCTAAATAGAGATTTCTCATCGAAGTTATGAATTGTGAGGTTATAGTCAAGTTCATAGAATCCTATACAAAATTGCAGCAATTTGCAGCACATACTTTAACTGGTCCCTCATTTTGCAGATTTCTACACAACAATATTAAATGACATAGCAAAGGGAAGTTTACATGTACATGTGGGCACCTAGCCAGACTTGGTCAACTTTAGGGGTGAGCATCAGGCCAGACTGGGCAATGTCTAGGACAGCCTGGGGGGCTTAGACCATCGCTGAACCCAAATACAGCCCAAGGATGATGGATCCAAACCCAGACCAACTACATAGGATGGGCCTAATGTTCAACTGCAGGCAGCCCAATAATATATCACTTTTATATCAAATAGCTGTAGGTATTAAAATTAATATGTGTTTATGCTATCCATAGAATATATTATACAAATTTATACATAGGTCAAGAAGGGCCAAGATACCAAAGCCCAGCCTGAACTCAACTTTGAGCCAGCTTTTAGGCTCCATTTGGGAAGAGTGCAAATACAAAAAAAAAAAAAAAGATCAGTACAAATGCAAATACATCTGCTTCATGAAAATGCAAAGTTTGTCTAGTTTTGTAATGATAATTTTGTTCTCTTGCCAAATGATTTTTAATTGTGATAGGTACAAACACAAATTCCAAGATTGAAATATGTCTTTTTTTTATCAACTTTGAGTGCAATGTTTGCTTCCATTATTTGGATGCAAAATTTTCTCTCATTTTGAATGCAAACATGTCTTGAAATCTGTGTTTGCAGTCAACCAGCATTTGCACTCTTCCCAAATGGAGCCTTGGACTCAATCCCAATGCTCAGGCCTGGTCAACTTAAGTTTGTTCCAACTCTATCACCAGTTTATTAACATCAATTTAAGCTTTGACCATAGTTCTCTCTTCTATTGATCCAATCAACAACTCCTTTAGTCAATACATTTTGTAGAGATACTTACTTCTGGGCTAATATACCATTTACTGTCGGTATTTCGATGAGGTTGGGAATCTGAGTTAATGAGACCATATAGTAAACCACTAGTCACGTTGATCTTATTCAATGAAGCAAGCACCTCATCCACACGCACAAATGCATCATCATCTGTCTTCATCACATACTTGGCTGAAACAACCTCTGTCTGGTAATACCAAATAGCAAATATTTAAAATTAAGGGGTGAATTTAGTCAGACAAAAGCAACATCTGCTGGTTTTAAGAAGAGACAAGAATTTACACCAAAGATGCATATTGCTATGGTTTTCCAGGTGATGAGGTTGTAGTAGTCAACAAAAGGCATTAGCTGAATATCTCCATATGTCCGTGCCTCATTCCAGAGTTCCTCATTCACCATCTGGTTTTTATGCTGCAACATACAAAGGATTCTATATTCAGTTTCTAAATTAAAACCTTTAGTTATACACTCCTAGAAATGCTAATTTGTGCATGGTAGAAAAAACTTATATCTGGGTATGGCATTTAAATGCAAACACAAGAAGAAATGCCAAAAGCTTGGTGTAGCAGACAACCTTTAGCCATACAAGATGAGGTATTATAATACTTCTCAAAATAGTAGTTGCTGAGTTATGTTACATCAACATGTCATGGACAGATTTCGGACACAAAATTTATGCCCAAGAGAACTGTAGTGTCCAACATGAGCAAATACATTTCAAAACAACCATGTAGCTTTGTCACCAATTAAAATGAATAATTTGCATGTCTTGAACTCACCAGGCCCACAAAAAAACGCACTGCAACTGCTCCTGACTGCAATTCAGGATACTGCATCCAAGTTCTCCTAACAGCCATCCTACGATTGAAATTGTTCGCTGTAGAGAAGACACCAATGAAAAAATCCAAAGTCTTGTGGAGAGGCAGATGAGCTGACTTGAGTGATTCTAAGTCAACAACATGATCCATATCCTCTGAAGTGGGTAAACCACTGGCTAAGACAGAAATTAACTTAAGGTCTCCAGCTATTCTTACTTCACTGACAAGCCATGGTTCTAGAGTCTACAAAAATGGTAATGAAGTTAGAAAAAAAAAGAATAAGTGTTACTGTGTGTTGAGAGAAAGAGAGGGGTTACTTCACGGTATGCAAAGGATGTCATGTGCTTGCCATCGATTGTCATGTGGATCCCTTCTGCTCCCACCCTAAGAGTGAAAACAGACATATAACCTTGCTTGAAAGGAAAATAGCGCCTGGGTCTAGATCTTTGTTCTATGGAGGTCCGGATTGAAATATTAGAATATTTACTAGTTATGAACCTCCGGCTAACATTTTTACCCACCATCACATTGCACTGCTCCAATTCATCAACTGAAAAGAAAATATATTGCGCAGATTATACAGAGGACCAACAAACAAAGTAAACACAATGCATACTGCATCAGAAGGAAACAAAGGGTCAATAACAATAGCAGTTATTATCATAATATTAAAAGAAAGGTCAAAAAAGGCATCACCCAATGCTGGTCCCAGCTATCCGGGGTCTTGAGAGGGGTGGACTGGATAGTGGATACAGACCTAACCTTTGGCATTTTAATGCTATAATATAATGAAACCAATAATAAAGTTATCCACACCAAAACTTTTGGTAAATGCAAGCAAAGAAACTGCCATGGAGCATACGAATCATATATGCATACAAAAACAGATTATCAGACAATTCCTAGATGCGTGTAATAGTAGAAATTGTTTGGATATATCAATTGTGTCAGAAAATGTTCAACCCGAACCAAATATTTGTTAGCTAATCTTGATATGAGCACCAGCAGGAGACATAAAAGTACAAGGCAAATTCTCAGTTGAATCCTGGTTGTTTGGACCAAGGATTATCACCTCTGCTTGTGTTAATACATATCAGATGCTTAAAGAGCATAGAATGTATGAGATGGTTTCCTAAATAAAAAGTGCAAGATGAAAAGCTATACGAAGTTAAGGATGTAACTTTCAGAAATTAAAAGCAATTGCAAAACCATAGAGGAGGCAAAGACAACTGACCTAGTGATGTAGCACAGCAAGGAACTTCAAATAGAAGGAGATCTAGGTATCGCTCCTAGTCCTAGATGTTTAGGCCTCACACCCAAACATAGGAAGCATCATACACCCACATAGAGAAACAAACTTCTATATTGTATTCATGTCTTGAGAATCAACCAATACACCTATATTTATAGCATAGCAACTGATTGTCCTAACTAGGAATCCTACTCTTACTTGGCTTATAAGTACTAATGAGAACTGAAAACAGAATACAATGACTCCTAACAACTACATAACTAAAACAAACTTGCTGTAAAAACTCTCCTAACACACTTCTAACATTACTGTTTCTTAAACTTAGTTACAAACTCAAAACACCCAGAATTTATTCTAGCTCCCAGCTAGAATCTTCTCCATTATTGTGCCCAATAAGGATCAAAGCCTTAGAATTGTTAGACACTTTTCTTTTTCTCCTATAAGTCTTGAAGTTTGCTGTATGATCTTTATCATCTAGGATATGAACAATTGTATGGATTAGTTAAGTACAGGATGACAAAAAGTAAACACAACATGTTTAGCAATTTAAATATTATGTGCCTATGAAAAATGGTTTAAAATGATAAATCTGGTTTGGGCAATTAAAGAGAAAAAAAAAAACAGAAGTAATAAGCTTTTTCTATAAAGCTTACATACAACCAGAGGAGCATACTCAAATCCTAAACAAACCCACCTTTTGTCCAAGATGGCTTACTATAGACACAGAAATGGACAAAAAAAAACCGAGAGATATGATAACATAATATAATCAACTTATTATAATTCGGCCTGCCTTTGAGTTCTGTTAGTCTGATAACAGGCAAGAAGAGAGAAGAAGAAAGAAGAAAGAAAGACAGAGAGAAAGGAGGAGAAAATGAGAGAAAAAAAGTCTGGTTCAAATTAGGGAAAAATCACTTCTCCCATTCGGCCAGACATGTTTTATATTACTAATATAATGGAAAAGACACATGTGCCCTTATTTAAGTGAGGGACACTAGTTCTAATATAATATTACAGATCAACAACCTCAACACAAGTATAAAGACAGAAATACCCCTACACTAACACTCCCCCTCAAGCTGGTAAATATATATCATATAATCCCAGCTTGTTACATATGTAGTCCACTCTTCCCCGACTCAACCCTTTTGTAAATAAGTCTACCCACTGGTTCCCTGTGTTAACATATGCAGTGTCTATCACTCCATTCAGCACCTTCTCTCTCACAACGTGACAGTCAACCTCTATGTGCTTGATTCTTTCATGAAACACCAGATTAGAAGAAATATGAACTACAGCCTGATTGTCACAATAGAGCTTCATTGGAGTGTTAATATTGTATCCTATTTCCCGTAGAAGGTTCCTTAGTCACACTAATTCACAAGCAATATGTGCCATAGCTCTATATTCTGCCTCTGCACTGCTTCTCGCCACGACTGTCTGCTTCTTACTTTTCCATGTCACCAGATTACCCCCAAGAAAAGTGCAATAGCTTGTGGTAGACCTCCTATCAGACATAGAACCGGCCCGGTCAGCATCAGTATACCCTTCTATTTCAAGTTTTCCACCACTTTTGTATATCAAACCACAACCAGGGGCCCCTTTTAAATACCTCACAATTCTTAGAACCGCATCCCAATGAGGAACCAGAGGTTTCTACATGAACTGACTTACCGCACTAACCGCAAATGAAATATCTGGCCGAGTAATGGTTAGGTAGTTCAGTTTACCTACACCACGTCCAGATTGAGCTCCCCGAGCTCCACCTCTAACACCACGGCCCCTTGACACTGCAAAGGCTGATCTATCTGAGACATTAGAGTTCTCAGTAGATCCAATGGAAGTCCTCCGAAGTCGAGCAAACACCTCTTCTAAGGAAGGGAGAGCTGACCCTCCTAGTATCTGAGCCCGCACTGGTTCATACTCAGATTTCAGCCCCACCAAAAATCGAGTCACATCAAGTTGTTCTCTCTGTTTTGCTGAATTTTGACATCAGAAGTGAGGGGGTGATAAACATTCAACTCATTACGAATGTTTCTCATACTAGCATAGTACTCCTCAAGACTCTGATTGCCCTGTTGCAGATTAAAGTATTCCTGATACAGCTGATATACTCCGGTTGTATTGTCTTGACCAGAATACAACTTCTTAGCATGGTCCCACACATCTTTGGCAGTGTCAAGAAACATGAAATTTACACTAATCTTGGGTTCCATACTGTTCCATAACCACGTGATAATCTGTGCATCCTCTTGTTCCCAGTCTTCATACTCATGAGAATCAGTGGAGGGTTTCTCCTCCCTTATGTGTTTCACCTTCTTCTTTGCCTTYAGAAAAACTTCTACAGATTTAGCCCAAGGTACATAATTCTCTCCATTCAGTTTAATGGAGGTCATTTGAACATTCAGGTAGTCAGCAGGTATCATCACATTAGATTTGCTATCACTGTTATCTCCCATTGCTGAATTCTGTTACTACTGAATTCGGTACACTGCACACTACTTGATCACACTAATCACACTAGTTTCAGCACTTGTTATTGCTGAAGGTTGCAACTCCTTACACCACAAACCCTACCCTACGACTACCTGAAATCTCACCACTATATGAGAACCACTCCCCCTTCGAATCACACAAAAAAAACAACATAAACCCTAGCACACACAGTCTGAAATCCCATCATACGATCTGAAACATTCTTCCTATTTGATTCATAACAAAAAATATGCATAGAAAACTCTTACCTCATCACCCGAAAAACAAACCACACAAGAAGAAAATCAGTCCACACAAGACACCCACTGCACCACACGAATCAGCCCTCTTCTCTTCATCGATTAGGGGAGGGCTTCTTAGAGACCACAGCAACGGACCGCGAACAACACAACTGGAGGCATAGAAACCTCCAAGGGAAGAGGGCGACCACTCCTTTTCAGCCCTTTCCCTTATCTCCAATCGATGGCAAAGAAATCAAGAGAAAACCCTAAATTGAGTGCGCAGAAAAAAGAAATCTGGGCAGATCCGAGTTGCTTAGTTGAGCTCTGATACCATATTATAATTCGGCCTGCCTTTGAGTTCTGTTAGTCTGATAACAGCCAGGAAGAGAGAAGAAGAAAGAAGAAAGAAAGAGAGAGAAAGGAGGAGAATAACAGCCCTCATAGTTTATAGAATAATTACATGTTGACAAAATGGTTGATACCATGGTACAAATGAAAAAATGTTTATTCAATAACAGCCCTCACAGTTTTCTTTGCTAGCATCAAGTTGCATTGCAACCTTAGATGTTTCAACCATGACAAGGAAAGAAAAGGAAAAAAAAAAGAAAATACTGCCTAATGGAGGAAAAACAAGAAGAAAGCACAAAAGTTTCAACCATCAGCAGGCATTACCAAGTGATATGATATATGACCAGATTTCGTTCAAATGCTGCATAAAAAGCATAGACAGAAAACAAAGGGCTAGACAGAAAAAGTATCACTAATTATTTGATGACAAATATGATATACATACCAGTGCAACTAGAGCGGAGGTGACATGATAAGGAAACAAATCATAAGTAATGAACCATATCTCTCTACAAAGCTTAAAGCTTAGGAATTAGGAGACTGACAAAAAAACATAAAGTTAAAGAACATATGCACAATAAACTATACCTTTCATCTATCATAAAAAATCAACCAATAAAAAAAACTATACCTTTCTTTTTATTGTCAGGAACAGGAGAAGGACATCTTTCCTCTTCACCCCAATCATGAGCTATGGTCCAGGTATTTTGTACAATTACAGGATCCTCAGTTATCTTATCACCATGAAGCCTAACATTATAGTGCAATATAATGGGAGGATCTAGCTCCCCAGGAAGTGGTGTTCCTGTTAAATCAATCCGAAAATTGCCAAGGAGACCATTTGGAACACCAAGGATGGTAATCGAAGAACCCTGAATGAGCCCACAAGGTATCTGTAACTTATAACCAGTATCACCAAATTCTGTGGCATTCATTTTGCTCAGAAAATAAGGGCACAGTTTCTCTTTCGTCTTATGATGTGAACTTCCATTTTTATAACTAACTTTTTCCTCTTCAACAGAAACCATAAGACTATCCCATGCGACTCCAGCTTCCTTGATAGCTTCTATTGCATTTGGTAGAACCTTACTGCTATTTATCAAATTGTTTAAATGTTTCCATGTATATAATGACCTTTTCTCCTCCCTTGAGAAATTCCTCCAAGTAAAAAGATGAGAAACCAATGTAGCAGCAGAAACTACTTGTGAGACATTATCAAGATTTTGAACTGCAAATGGAACCCCAGCATGAACCCATTCAAGGGGATTAGATGCATTAAAGGAGAATGGACTGAGAAGTAAACTTTCCCCAATGGGATTTTTCATGAAGCCATATCTCAGAACCAGCAACATAAACAAGGAAGCAATCAGAAGACCCCCAGACCACTTCTTCATCTTTGCAGATTACACTTTTGAATCAATCAAGCGATAGTTAAATCTCAACAGAACTGAGTTCATAATGAGTACAATATACCACTTCTTAGTTACTAGAACGTCTGCATACCTCTGGAGTTTCATTTTCAGTTAGCAAGTCCAGAAAACCCAGAGAAACGCAAGAAAGGAAATCAAACCCTTCCATGGGAATTAGACCAGATACAAAACTCTGGCATATAATTCATCTCTTCAAAATTGTGAAGAAACATATTCTCATCTGTCAGTCTGTAGTTTGACCAACACAGTTCCTAAATCTTGCCAGTAGACACATTATGAAAAACCAGTAAACTGAGCGAAGGACTTCCATGTGAGACCCTTCATACCAATTTGAGAAGCCTCCAACAAAAGTATACATAAACTCACTGCGATATCCTGTTACAAGAAGTTTTAGTCAATAGATCAGTTGAGAAAACAGGATCAGTAGCACAAAAGTGCAGGGAGACGCATGTGCAGGTTTGATTTCCTAACAATGAGAAATTAGCGTTATATAGCACATAAGATCACAAAAAAAAAAATGGTGAAGAAAAGGAAACAAGAATTGAATCCATAGTATGGGAACTTTTGTGCAGACCTCAAAGGATATATTACTCCAAGAGATCCTTGAAACTTGAAACCTAGACTTAAACAGAGTTACGAATGAGAATAGAAGCTGAGTTCTCAGGCAGATAAATTCACTCCATTTGAGAATTCATCAACTCAGTCACTTATATTTACTCAAATAACATATCTTCCTAGGTTGAGTTGACCTAGAAGAAAGCCCACTTATAAAACAAACTATCAGAAACTAACAAAAGGAAAAATAAAATAAAATAGTTTTAATCGGTAAAAATAAAATCGACTGATAACGAAGTAAGCAGTTTTGAAACCACTTGTTCCACAAAATCGTTCAAGCTACTCCATCTCCACAAAACGAAGAAATCTTGAAAACAAAAATGTAGACTCAACAAGTAACAGAAAACCGCAAAAATAACAGTCAAAGGTCAAAACGCAGATCCAAATGCACCATACTAACAATTCAGTAATACCAAACTCAAACCACTTAAATTAACTAAACGAGGAGGAGAATGAATCGAAAAAGAAACCAAAAAACAACAAATGTAGCTCCAAGTATTACGAATTTTTACTCAAAAAATAATGCCATTGAAGATCCGGAAGTCGAACAACTAGTTGTAGAAATTGCAGAGAGCAGAGTGCAGTTACCTTCGCATCCGTCGGGTGAGAGAGAAGGAGAGAGGAGAAGGAAGTCATTTGCAGTAGTTGAGAGTCGAGAGTCGAGAGGGGAAGGTTCGGTCTTTTCTTTTGAACTTGGAGTCTACGGCAAGAGGTGGGAAGAAAGAAAATGAGTAGACAAAACAAAACTGTTGGCCTTTTTTCTTTGAGACTTTATTATAGTACACGCGGACTCAGAGTCAGACCTCAGAAGAAGAAGAAACTCTATTGTTGGTTTCTGTTACTATTTACACAGAATGCCACTTAACGTGAATTTCCCCGGCTTCTCTCTCCCCTATGGCCGGTTTACCGGCGGTTGCTGAGAAAAACGGTCAAGATGTTTGGTAAAAAAAACTGCAAAAAAGAAACGCCACCAGAAGTAGCACGGTAGCGGTAGCACCTGTTAATTGACAAAAGTATCCCCATGATCCTCCGAAAAATTACAGTAAGGCCACCCCTGGGCCCTGGCCCTGGTAATACGGTATGGTAATTAATTCGGTAAAGCATGGTCAGAGTGAGAAAGTTGTGGGACCCTTGGCGAGAAAGTAAAGTGGATTCTTTGAGAGAAGAACCGCCAAAACTATAAAACTAAAACCAATCAATGGATGAAAGTAAAAGATATCGACAAATTAAACGGTTGAGATCTTTTGGATCGCCCCGGCCTTTCCCTCGGGAGAGAATTCTTTTTAGAAATTAGAATTTAGATGTGACGGGGGGGAGGGACCCATATCTTGAATGAATGTAGATGATCAGATCAGATGAGGACCCCACCACAAGAAACGGATTTCGTACTGCAGAAATTAAGGTCTGATCTTGTCTTCACCTTTCACTGTCAAGATGTGTTGAGCTGGTTTATGGGCCAGCGGATCTGTATGATTGCTGGGAAGCATCAATCATTTGGGTCCTCATGCTTTGGAGGCATTTGACAGATGGCAGGTTACGACTCTCTCTGATCTTTTGGCCAGTGCTGTGGGCCCGCCATGGTGACATGTTTGAGCATTAATGATACTACTCTCAGATTTTTTGGGGCGGGCCGGCAGAGACAGGGCTTGAAATGGTCAAGTAAAGTTGCCCAATGGGCTCTAGCCTTTAAGCCCAGATAATGACGGTTAATAGTAATGGGCCCACCCATATCTTATGATCTCTATTTGCAGGGCATATGAGGAATCTTGTGACTGCAGTACAGTTAAAAACACGACGCATTCTCATTCTGTGCATTGAGTGGCACGCCTGAATGGTCAAAAATCAAAATCAAAACCAAAACCACGTTCTGTTTGTTTTCAGTTGCAATTGCGGGTCAAAACGAACAATGGAAAAGTATAATACTTGTGCTGCTGATGAAGGTTCTGTCCGGGATGTAAATGGATCGGATACATCGGGTTTGCTCCGGGCTGTGAAAAGCGATTTTATTATGTCAGTCACCATATTGAAACACTTTTTCTTTTACTTTATCAAAAGACAAAAGAAAAACATTTTCTTTATTATTGTTGGATTATCAACTAAAACTCCCTTTCACTTTTTTTTTTTTTTTAGTCCAGGCAGCTCTAGCCTCAATATAGGGTTCCAACATCATTACAGCTGTAACATTTTACAATGAAAGACAAGAAAGATATTCCCAATACACGGCAACAATGGTGTTAAAACAATTATTAGGATCCTTTGTTTGAACTAGACCTGAACACTCTTACCTAACTTTTCAAAACCTCTAGAGACCCCTGTGATAGGTCTGCCAAGGGCTTTCCAAAGGTCACTTCTTTTTCGACTCCAACACCACATCCCCCTGTATTGCCATGAAAAAATTCCCATCACCTTCTCCTCTCCATTCCCAACCCCCAATTTCAGCAAATGACAGATATTATTTCTTAGGGCTCGGTTTGAAAAGAGTAGGAATACAAATATATAGAGTATAAATGCATACAAAATAATGTAAAATACAAAGTTTTGCATTTCACATACTGAGCCTAGGGAAACCATCTTTAGAATGTATTTTTCTACTTAAATGCACCCACTTTGGTGAATTCATCACAAACGAGTTTGTGACATACATAAGAATACCTCTTCTCGAAAAGTTGATTAGAGAAGAGGGAAGACAAGAATATCTCTGTTATGAAAATCTTCATGCGATGATGTCTGGATGGATTTCTTTCATTACGGATGATCAACTGTACAAGGCAAACCATCGATTCCCATTGGCTTCTCTGAATTGAGTCACCTATGTAATTAGTTTTGTGCTTCTCAAAAGAGTAACATATAGGGAGGGCCTCTCAAGGGAATCATCTATCTATTATTAAAAGTATGAATGAGTTTATGGAACTGGCTTTTACTAAAGTACTTTTATTTTTTTGGATTTAGTCCATCTATAATTGTGAAGGTACAAAATGTAATTTGGATTATTACTCTTTACCTCATTCAATTCCTTTAACATTAAGTCTTATATTTAGAGTATTAATTTCCATTCTCTATTATTAAATTCTATATTTAAAGTATTTTTTTATTAATAAATACAAAATTGCTATTCCTTTTTTATGAGGGCAGATTTGGCCCTCCAATGAAGTTGCGACACGTGGCACCTCGTGACAACTAGGCAAGCCCCCAGGCAACAACTTACCAAGTTGGTCCCCCC